GATTACAAGCTACATATATAGGAGGTCAGAAATGAGACTACTGAAGAGCAATTGAGGAGAAGCCCTGGTTGAACTGCACTGAAGTCTGCCCAATTACTTATTTTCAGTTATATTTGCCAATAAAACCTTTCATTAGTTAAGCCCATTTAAATTCAATTTTCTGTTACTTGAAACTGGATGGTCCCAATTTGAAACACATACACAGAGGATCAGTATGTTCATTAGTAACCTATATTATAGTTTATATTAGCTGGTATATGAGCAATTCACACCATAACATAATATTCTTTATCTTTACTTTCTTGGACTGATAGGTGACATACAGAATGTCTGGTTCCACACCAGACATCTGTCTACTCTAATGGCTTGGGGTGGGATACATAGATAAAACTCAAGAGAAGCAGACAGGGGACAATATTTTATCCTAAAGATAATGGAGATCCAGGAGAAGGGTTTAGGCAGGTTAAACAAACAAAAGGTAATAATTTCCATGGTTCTGAGGATAAGTCTTTTCAAAAAAGAAGTTTTTTTTCCCCTGTCTTTTTCTTTCAGTAAAATTCTTATTTGCTTTGTAATCTACTGGTTTATTCAATAGCTATTTATTATGTGCCAGTCACAATTGCAGGAACTTAGGATATAGCAGTGAATAAAACAGGAAAAATTCTTGCCATCACAGAGCTTAGGTTCTTTTCAGGCCAAACAGTATCCTCTCCACAATGTCTGCCTGAATTCTCTCAATTGTATTTAATATATCCTTCTGCTTTATGGCGTGTTGTATGTACTACTGTAATTACACTTATGGTCTGCTTCAAGTTAGAGGTATTGCTTCAGATGTCAAATATCCCTCTCACTAGACCAAAGGGTTCTTGGAAGCAAGGTCTATGTTACTAGTTTGCCTCCCAAGCACAGACCTGGTTCAGAGCAAGTGCCAGTAGGTATTTGTTGAATGAGAGAATGACTCTGTCTATAGTCCTAAAAGGGCAAGCCCACATGGTGCAGCTCTCTCTGTAGCTTCTGCCAGGCATTCAGTTGGAGTGGATGGGAGCCAACCTGACATGGTTTTAGGTGATCTGGTAATCATACAGAAATGACATTCCTAATGAGTGATTATTACTAATAAGTGATAATAATAAAGTTCATTTGTATGACTGTGGGTATGATAGGAAATGAAAGCCTGGATAATTCTATTATGAAATTCAAACAGCTGTCCAGCTTAATGAATGTAAATGGCTCTTTGATGAAGAAATGGAATATATCAGTGAAAATGGTGACTGCAATTATAAAAATATTTTCTTTGGTTAAAACTTAAATGACTCAAAAACTGGGTCATATATGCACTTAAATACTTTATAAATCACTGTAACTTAGGGGCAAACACCTCTGATTTTCCTAGAAACAAAAAAGAATTACTGTAAAGATCAAAAGCATTTGTTTCTGCTTGATTTCAAATGGTTGCTGTTTTATTGCTACACAGTCAACAGAGGGAGCCCACGTTACAAAACGTAATAAAATTTCCTTACTGGACTTTGTACATTGGTAGAAAGCCAATAGAAGAAATAGAAAGAAATAGAAGAAGTAGAATAGAAGAGTTAAGGTACTGGACAAATTTGGTTTTAAATGATACTAAGAATCTGGAATCCCTCTTATGAAACTGAGTTTGGGGGATGATATTAAGGTAAGGGTATTTCAAAATAGCATACACATAGTGGATATATAAATTTTTAAACACACTTTACATACTGCCAGAATGAGCCGTGATCTTTAAAGTACACAGTTATATCACTCTCCTGCTTAGAACCCTCCAGTGGTATCTTCATCACTTATGCAACAAATCCAATCTTATTGGGGTTGTATTAAAGGAGATAATCAATAGCGTAGTGCCTGGCACAGTGAATTGTCAGTAAATTCTTAGTATTATTTTTCACTATCATGTCTTTTATTACAGTGATCCTTCAGACTAGAATGCTTTCCAAACTACCCCCTTCCTACTACTCTCATCTGACTAACTCCTTTCTTGTACTAGAGGCTTCAGGATCCCAGAAGTCTTGTCTTTCACTGTCTGGGTGCTCTTCTGGTATTTATCACACAATATTGTAGTGACATGTTCACAAAGGTGTCTCTCCAAGTTGATAGCAGAGGCCAGATCCCATAAATTGTTCTGTCTCTAATGCCTAGTAATCAGGTAACCAACCATCCAGCTTGGCCTGGCACTGTTCCAGTGTTAGCAAAAGAAGTTCCATGTCACCCTCCCACAGATCCTGACAAATAATAATAATTCAATCAATAAATTTGTTTACCTAGGAAAATTATCACTTTTGCTTCACGGGTTTAAATTTCTCCAACTATTAACTAAAAAGTTTAAACAAAATAATATCTAAGGCCCTTTTAAACTTGATATTTTAGAATTGGATGTCACATTTATGTCCTGCCTACATTCATATTTTATCTTATCTATACTAAAGGAATTTTAACTAAGTACTACCTGTTTGTGTTTTAATTGCTTTTTTATTTTTTTATTTTTTCTTTTTATTTTAGAGAGAGAGAGAGTGTGTGTGTGTGAGAGTGGGGGAAAGGGGCAGAGAGAGAGATAGAGAGAGAATCTTAAGCAGGCTCCACACTCAGCGCAGAGCCTGTCACAGGTCTTGATCCCACAACCCTGGGATTATGACCTGAACCCAAATTGAAAGTCCAATGGTGACCTGACTGAGCCACCTACCCTAATGGTTTTAATTTAAATGAATTTTTAAATTGAAATATAGTTGATACACAATGTTACATTCATTTCAGGTGAAAAACTTAGTGGTTTGACAACTCTATTTGTTATGTTATGTTATCCACAAATGTAGCTACCTTCTGTCACCATACAATGCATTACAATACCATTGACTATATTCTGGACACTGTACCTTTCATCTCTGTGTCTTATTCATTCTATAACTAGAAGCCTATACTCCCCACTCCCCTTCACCCCTTAAATTTTTTTAAAAAGTACTACTGAAAATACTCATGATAAATCAAATGAAGAGTAAAATATAAATCTACTTGTATGGTATAATTCCAATTTTGTAAAATATGTATATTTTTATGTTTTATTGAAGAAAAGGGAATGGAATTATGAAAACATTTTTTATCAGTAAATTCTCCCATTTTATGAATTTCCAAAAATGTCTACAATTATCGTATGATTTTATACTTAGGAAACAATACTTATGAAACACCAATGTTTGTGCTGATGTGGTAGTGGGTATACTTTAAATAATTATTTTTCAGGATATTGTTACCTTTGCATGAAGTTGTTAATAAAAGCTAGCTAACTGATCACATGTTTCCTTTAACAGTGCTTCTCAACATTAATGTAGGTCTGGGTTGGGTCTGTGATTCTGAATTTCTAACAAACTTCCAGATGATGACAGTGCTTCTGGTCTGTGGACCACATTTTAGGCAGTGGGCTGTAGTACATGAATTCTAATCCACATTTGACTATCAGTTACAACTTTTTAAAACAATATTGTGCCTTTGGTAATGTTTCCCAAAATGACACATTAGGGAAATATAGGAAACTTCTCATAATTCACCCTTCTGAGTGCTGAGGGGGATCGATACCTTGGGAAAATTGTAAACTCTTAAAAATGTAATGGTCGGGAGTTCCTGCCTCAGAGTTAGTTGTCTTTTGTAAACAAGAAGTCAAATGCAACAATATATGTTAGACCAACCAAAATACCAGACACCTATGTTGACATATGCTACATAACTCAAAATAAAGTGCTTTCTCCTCTATGCCCCTCACAGAGTTCCTAGTACAGTTGTGTTCCATAAATAGAGTTTGAACAAAGGAATGAGTTTAATTATATAAATAATAGCTAGGATTTTAACACTTTCTGAAGGCGTAAAGCTCTGGTTCTCAAATTTCAGTGTGTGTAAGACATATCTGGGAAAGAAGCTGAAATGTAGATTCTTGGACTCTGCCCTCAGAAATTCTGATTCTGGGCAGTGGAATTAAAGAAACTGTTTTTTTAACAGGATCAGATGATTGTAATAAAGGTATCTCTGGACTATATGTTGAGCGATACTAGTTTTAAATATAAGAAAAAAGTTACCACCACTAACATGTAAGAAATACATTTTCCATCATGACCCAGTTTACATACACATTTAGATACATACATATCTGAAACAAACTTTCATAAAATAATACTAACCCTTACTATGTGTCCCACCCATGTGTCATATCATAGCCTGATATTTTCTATTTTATTCAATTTCATTACAAAAACATTGCCCACAACCAACCAACCATATTGATTTCACATCATTTACCTCATTTAATCTTCCCATCAGTGCTGCAAGGTAAGCACTCTTAACTGAATCTTTCTTACTTGGAAACAACCTTGGGGAAGATTAATGTGCCCAATGTTACACACTGAATAAATGGCAGAGGTGGAATTCAAACTCAGAATGCCTGGCCATAAATGGCTCTGGCCTGCCCTCACCTTCATACAAACATCCTGAAAAAGCCCAGCAACCCCCCAGTTTTGGAGTTGATTCAGACAGCCTCTGGTTTCCCCAGTTGAATTCTATCAACTTTGGATACCAATTAGAAATTTCTAAGAAAAAAAAAAAAGATTTTGACTCAACTTGGACCAGGTGTGAACTCTGATCCATTCTGCTATAGTCAAAAGGATGCTGAGGGTGGAGTCACCTAGTACAGTCATGGACACCTAATCCCTACAGCAAGAGTTGAAGCTGGGGGGATGGTAATTTCAAAGAAAGGGCAAAGGTCTTGGCAGTCACGTAGAAATACATTTACTATATCTGCATTTCTTCTCATTTGAGCAGGGGAATTTTTCATCTCCCTTTCCAGGTAAGTCCCCCCTGCAGCATTAGAACAGGAGAAACTAGAACAGTACAATCCAAGTCTTCTTCATTTCCCAACCCCTGCAGAACTCCTGCCCTCCTCACCTTCCCAAATGCACAGCAGGGATAGTCCTGGAAGTTCTTACCTGAGGCAAAGGAGAATTACAAAATGAAAGGAGCACCTCCTTCAGTCTTTGTGATGGAGGACAGTGACTGACTTTCTGGAAATTCAACAGGAGCTGATTCTTCTCTGTGTTTGAGTGTCCCTTTCTTCTTAGGGTCCCAGCAGCAGGTTTTTGCAGAAGATTCTGAAAACCTGACATTGTTTGTTACATAATTCAAACTTCCCATCCAAGACACTATTTTAACCTTCTGAAAAATAAAAAATTGCAAAATCTCTCTCAAAAGTTGTTGAATAAAGAAAAAAGGATTGTTATCCTTCTTTAAAAATATTCAAAATATAAAATTAATGCTGCAGTTCTCTAACAAATATTCCTTTCTTTTATTAATGTAGACACACACCTCTCATGAAGACCAGCTATGGAAGTTTCAATTATGCCAAAAAGCATAAGACTAAATAAATCAAAAGGTTAAAAAAACATATGGAATTTTTAAATAGCTAAATCCTTTTTGGACAAATCACAGTGCTTTCATCTACATCCTTTGTTTCCTTCCCACTGCTGAGGAAGATCGACAGTTTCCTTGATTAGAATTTTTTTTTTCAACATTTATTTATTTTTGGGACAGAGAGAGACAGAGCATGAACGGGGAAGGGGCAGAGAGAGAGGGAGACACAGAATCGGAAACAGGCTCCAGGCTCTGAGCCATCAGCCCAGAGCCCGACGCGGGGCTCGAACTCCCGGACCGCGAGATCGTGACCTGGCTGAAGTCGAACGCCACCCAGGCGCCCCAGTTTCCTTGATTAAGAGAACAGTTTGAAGTGCTTTTTAAAGAATACTTTTAAGATTTTTTTCTGTTATTTTCAACATTCTTAAAAGTTTTAGAGTCTTCCTCTCCTTAATATGGCAAAATAAAGAACAATTTTTGACCTGTCTTAAAAATAGACTTTAATAATGTTTACATCTAATTAAACTCTAAAATTTTATTAAAATGAAAATAATTCCCAAATCCTAACTCAACAAGTATTTTCCTTGTCTTCCTATTCCCTCCAAATTTTTATATGCTGTAGAAGGATAATCCTGAGGAATATAAAAAGTGTTGTACTTTTTCCCCTTGATAGCAACCTCAACAAAATAGTGCTTTCTTTTGAGAAGTATATTTGCCTGTGCACAATCATTATAAATATTATTTCTATGTCTCTTAGGTATTGCAGTCATGTCTCATATTCTTTCATCTGGAAGCACTTTGGTGTGTATTATTTGATGTGTATTAATAGAGTATTATTTTAACAAACATTCATTTGTTCATTATTATTTATATTTACCTGAATGAAGACTTCATTTACATCCCACCAGAGTCATGCCAAGTCAACCCAATGAGCATCTAAAAAATAAATACATTTCCAGTTCCAACCGACAAGCACTTTATATAATACTGCTTTTGCTTTAATAAATGAATACTGCAATTTCTCTTTAAAAAATAATGCCTTAGGAAATAAATATTTTACCAAAAACATATTAACACATTAAATGAAAACTCTTAGGAAAGAAGAAGTAAAGATACAATTGAATTGTATCTTAATGGTGGTTGGGGAGAGGGAATAATTGTATTTAAAGGAAGTTCTAAGCCAAAAATTGGATGTACTAAAAATTACCCTTTAAAATACTAAATTAGGAGGGGCCAAGATGGCGGAACAGCATGGAAGTTTTTTTGCATCTCTTGTCCCTGAAATACAGCCAGATCAACACTAAACCATCCTGCATACAAAAAAAAACAAAAAACAAAAAAAAACTGATTTGAGGATTAACACAGCAATATGCACAACCTGAACCACAGAACTCAACAGGTACATGGTGCGGAGAGGTGAACTGGGGAAGACAGAAATCGCAAAAGGCGGGGAGCTGTTTTTGCTTGCAGAGAGAGGATGGAGATGGAGGTGGGGAGAGTACGGGAAAGCTTCCCCCCACCCCCGATACCTGAAAGCAGCTGATGAGAAAAGAAAGAGTATGCTAGGGACTGAACAAAAAAAGAGAAAGGAGAGGGGCGCCTGGGTGGCGCAGTCGGTTAAGCGTCCGACTTCAACCAGGTCACGATCTCACGGTCTGTGAGTTCGAGCCCCGCGTCGGGCTCTGGGCTGATGGCTTGGAGCCTGGAGCCTGTTTCCAATTCTGTGTCTCCCTCTCTCTCTGCCCTTCGCCCATTCATGCTCTGTCTCTCTCTGTCCCAAAAATAAATAAACGTTGAAAAAAAAAAAAAGAGAAAGGAGAAAGGAGAGGATTTAAATTCCATTCCAGATATCGAGCTGTGGAGTTTCAGACTCTGAAGACTCTATAAATAGGGGGAGCACAGAGTCTGCAACTCTACAGCTCGATAGCTGGCAGTCCTCTGGTGGGAAGGGCGAATTCCTAGGAATAGTTAGCAAGGTCCAAGGGGTCCTCAGGCCACATGGGGAGAGGCAGTTCCCTTGCTGGGAGGACATTTGGTAGAGGCTGTGTGGCCACCCACAGACAAAGATTCCAGCAGACCCTGGAGAACAACCACACTCACTGGTGCTGGAACAAGGACATTAAGTGAGAAGCCTGGTGCCAGATATGTGTTGTGACTTCCATAATCCCTGAAACACTGTTGCTACACAATCACGTGAACTTTTCCTGGAGCAGGCTGGCACCCAGCCGCAGTCTCTGGGGATCGGCAATAGCACAGTCTCGCAAATGTTCCTGGGAGCAGGCAGGCACCTGTACATTGCTTGGTGAGACTCTCCCTCAGAGGGTTAGAATGGGTGAAAGCTGCAGTCCCTCAGAAATGAGGAGTTGAAACACAGCCACATCTGAGATAAAACCCAGGAGGGAGGTGCTGCCTCACAACCTGATGGCTTGGTCACTGACAGTGTAAAAGCGAGGAGTGGACAAAAGCTGGAGACAAAGGATGGGTGTGCAATTGCTGATCAGGGAGAACAGAGTTCCCATACTATAGACAGGGTAGCTGGGTGACGCTATTTTCACCCCTCCCACACATGCGCACACACCCCTACAAGTGCCACAACAATCTACCCCAGTAAGCCAAGCAGCGCCATCTAGGGGGGAATAGAGCCATTACACTAAGCCCCACCCAATGGGGCCCACCTCGATCTTCAGGAAGTCTCTGCATGCTTAGTTTATGGACTATAAAGGGCTTCACTGTTTGAGGGGGAACCGATGTAATTTCAATTGTACTTCAGCTGTTTGCTGGTCCAATTCTTTTTCTTTTTTCTTTTTCTTTTCTTTTCTTATTCTTGAATACAGAAAGAGAAAATTTTGTTATTATTTTTGATTTTTATTAAAAATATTTTTCTTTAGTTTTTTCCAGTATATTTTTAAATTTTCTGTAAATTTTCAAAATTCTATTTTACTTCCATAATTTCATTTTATTCTATTTCATTGTATTCATTTTTTCAAATTTTCAAACATTTTCCTTTTTTCCCACTCTTTTCTCTCTCTTTTTTTTTCTTATCTTTCCTTTTTTTCTCTAATCTATCAAGCTCCTTTCAACAACCAGACCAAAACACAACTAGGATATAGCAACATTTATTTGATTTGTGTGTGTGTGTGTGTGTGTGTGTGTTGTTTTCAATTTTTAAATATTAATGTTTTTTACCTAATTAATTCCTTTTCTTCCTTCAAAATGGCAAAATGAAGGAATTCACCCCCAAAAAAGAACAGGAACAAATGACAGCCAGGGAGTTAATCAACACAGATACAAGCAAGATGTCTGAAGCAGAATTTAGAATCACGATAATAAAAATACTAGCTAGGGTTGAAAATAGATTAGAATCACTTCTGCGGAGATAAAAGAAGTAAAGCTAGTCAAGATGAAATAAAAAATGCTATAGAAGGGAGAGGGAAGATGGCGGCGTAGGAGGACGCTGGGCTCACCGCGCGTCCTGCTGATCACTTAGATTCCACCTACACCTGCCTAAATAACCCAGAAAACCGCCAGAGGATTAGCAGAACGGAGTCTCCGGAGCCAAGCGCAGACGAGAGGCCCACGGAAGAGGGTAGGAAGGGCGGCGAGGCGGTGCGCGCTCCACGGACTGGCGGGAGGGAGCCGGGGCGGAGGGGCAGCTCGCCGGCCAAGCAGAGCCCCTGAGTCTGGCTGGCAAAAGCGGAGGGGGCTCACGGACTGTGTTCCGACAGCAAGTGCGACTTAGCGTCTGGGAGGTCATAAGTTAACAGCTCTGCTCAGAAAGCGGGAAGGCTGGAGGATAAAGGGAGGGAGAGCTGCTGAGCCCCCAGAGAGCTGCTGAGCTCAGTTTGGTGGGGAACAAAGGCGCTCGCCAGCGCCATCTCCCCCGCCCATCCCCAGCCAAAATCCCAAAGGGAACCAGTTCCTGCCAGGGAACTTGCTCGCTCCGCGCAAACAACCAACTCTGTGCTTCTGCGGATCCATCCCTCCAGCAGCGGATCTGACTCCCTCCCACTGCCACAGGGCCCCTCCTGAAGTGGATCACCTAAGGAGAAGCAAGCTAAGCCTGCCCCTCCTGCCCCCGTGCACCTTGCCTACCCACCCCAGCTAATATGCCAGATCCCCAGCATCACAAGCCTGGCAGTGTACAAGTAGCCCAGACGGGCCACGACCCCACAGTGAATCCCGCCCCTAGGAGAGGGGAAGAGAAGGCACACACCAGTCTGACTGTGGCCCCAGCGGTGGGCTGGGGGCAGACATCAGGTCTGACGGCGGCTCCACCCACCAACTCCAGTTATACACCACAGCACAGGGGAAGTGCCCTGCAGGTCCTCACCACGCCAGGGACTATCCAAAATGACCAAGCGGAAGAATTCCCCTCAGAAGAATCTCCAGGAAATAACAACAGCTAATGAACTGATCAAAAAGGATTTAAATAATATAACAGAAAGTGAATTTAGAATAATAGTCATAAAATTAATCACCGGGCTTGAAAACAGTATAGAGGACAGCAGAGAACCTCTTGCTACAGAGATCAAGGGACTAAGGAACAGTCACGAGGAGCTGAAAAGCGCTTTAAACGAAATGCAAAACAAAATGGAAACAACAACAGCTCGGATTGAAGAGGCAGAGGAGAGAATAGGTGAACTAGAAGATAAAGTTATGGAAAAAGAGGAAGCTGAGAAAAAGAGAGATAAAAAAATCCAGGAGTATGAGGGGAAAATTAGAGAACTAAGTGATACACTAAAAAGAAATAATATACGCATAATTGGTATCCCAGAGAAGGAAGAGAGAGGGAAAGGTGCTGAAGGAGTACTTGAAGAAATAATAAAGCTGAGAACTTCCCTGAACTGGGGAAGGAAAAAGGCATTGAAATCCAAGAGGCACAGAGAACTCCCTTCAGACGTAACTTGAATCGATATTCTGCACGACATATCATAGTGAAACTGGCAAAATGCAAGGATAAAGAGAAAATTCTGAAAGCAGCAACGGATAAACGTGCCGTCACATATAAAGGGAGACCTATATGTGACTGATCTCTCTTTTGAAACTCGGCAGGCCAGAAAGAATTGGCACGCGATCTTCAGTGTGCTAAACAGAAAAAATACGCAGCCGAGAAACCTTTATCCAGCAAGTCTGTCATTTAGAATAGAAGGAGAGATAAAGGTCTTCCCAAACAAACAAAAACTGAAGGAATTTGTCACCACTAAACCAGCCCTACAAGAGATCCTAAGGGGGATCCTGTGAGACAAATACCAGAGACATCACTACAAGCATAAAACATACAGACATCACAATGACTCTAAACCCATATCTTTCTATAATAACACTGAATGTAAATGGATTAAATGCGCCAACCAAAAGACATAGGGTATCAGAAGGGGTAAAAAAACAAGACCCTTCTATTTGCTGTCTACAAGAGACTCATTTTAGACCTGAGGACACCTTTAGATTGAGAGTGAGGGGATGGAGAACTATTTATCATGCTACTGGAAGCCAAAAGAAAGCTGGAGTAGCCATACTTATCAGACAAACTAGACTTTAAATTAAAGGCTGTAACAAGAGATGAAGAAGGACATTATATAATAGTGACAGGGTCTATCCATCAGGAAGAGCTAACAATTATAACTGTCTATGCGCCGAATACCGGAGCGCCCAAATATATAAAACAATTACTCATAAACATAAGCAACCTTATTGATAAGAATGTGGTAATTGCAGGGGACTTTAACACCCCACTTACAGAAATGGATAGATCATCTAGACACACGGTCAATAAAGAAACAAGGGCCCTGAATGAGACATTGGGTCAGATGGACTTGACAGATATATTTAGAACTCTGCATCCCAAAGCAACAGAATATACTTTCTTCTTGAGTGCACATGGAACATTCCCCAAGATAGATCATATACTGGGTCACAAAACAGCCCTTCATAAGTTTACAAGAATTGAAATTATACCATGCATACTTTCAGACAATGCTATGAAGCTTGAAATCAACCACAGAAAAAAGTCTGGAAAACCTCCAAAAGCATGGAGGTTAAAGAACACCCTACTAAAGAATGAGTGGGTCAACCAGGCAATTAGAGAAGAAATTTAAAAATATATGGAAACAAACGAAAATGAAAATACAACAATCCAAACGCTTTGGGATGCAGTGAAGGCAGTCCTGAGAGGAAAATACATTGCAATCCAGGCCTATCTCAAGAAACAAGAAAAATCCCAAATACAAAATCTAACAGCACACCTAAAGGAAATAGAAGCAGAACAGCAAAGGCAGCCTAAACCCAGCAGAAGAAGAGAAATAATAAAGATCAGAGCAGAAATAAACAATATAGAATCTAAAAAAACTGTAGAGCAGATCAACGAAACCAAGAGTTGGTTTTTTGAAAAAATAAACAAAATTGACAAACCTCTAGCCAGGCTTCTCAAAAAGAAACGGGAGATGACCCAAATAGATAAAATCATGAATGAAAATGGAATGATTACAACCAATCCCTCAGAGATACAAACAATTATCAGGGAATACTATGAAAAATTATATGGCAACAAATTGGACAACCTGGAAGAAATGGACAAATTCCTGAACACCCACACTCTTCCAAAACTCAATCAGGAGGAAATAGAAAGCTTGAACAGACCCATCACCAGCGAAGAAATTGAATCGGTTATCAAAAATCTCCCAACAAATAAGAGTCCAGGACCAGATGGCTTCCCAGGGGAGTTCTACCAGACATTTAAAGCAGAGATAATACCTATCCTTCTCAAGCTATTCCAAGAAATAGAAAGGGAAGGAAAACTTCCAGACTCATTCTAGGAAGCCAGTATTACTTTGATTCCTAAACCAGACAGAGACACAGTAAAAAAAGAGAACTACAGGCCAATATCCCTGATGAATAGGGATGCCAAAATTCTCAATAAGATACTAGCAAATCGAATTCAACGGCATATAAAAAGAATTGTTCACCATGATCAAGTGGGATTCATTCCTGGGATGCAGGGCTGGTTCAACATTCGCAAATCAATCAACGTGATACATCACATTAACAAAAAAAAAGAGAAAAACCATATGATCCTGTCAATCGATGCAGAAAAGGCCTTTGACAAAATCCAGCACCCTTTCTTAATAAAAACCCTTGAGAAAGTCAGGATAGAAGGAACATACTTAAAGATCATAAAAGCCATTTATGAAAAGCCCACAGCTAACATCATCCTCAACGGGGAAAAACTGAGAGCTTTTTCCCTGAGATCAGGAACACGACAGGGATGCCCACTCTCACCGCTGTTGTTTAACATAGTGCTGGAAGTTCTAGCATCAGCAATCAGACAACAAAAGGAAATCAAAGGCATCAAAATTGGCAAAGATGAAGTCAAGCTTTCGCTTTTTGCAGATGACATGATATTATACATGGAAAATCCGATAGACTCCACCAAAAGTCTGCTAGAACTGATACATGAATTCAGCAAAGTTGCAGGATACAAAATCAATGTACAGAAATCAGTTGCATTCTTATACACTAACAATGAAGTAACAGAAAGACAAATAAGGAAATGGATCCCATTCACAATTGCACCAAGAAGCATAAAATACCTAGGAATAAATCTAACCAAAGATGTAAAGGATCTGTATGCTGAAAACTATAGAAAGCTTATGAAGGTAATTGAAGAAGATTTAAAGAAATGGAAAGACATTCCCTGCTCATGGATTGGAAGAATAAATATTGTCAAAATGTCAATACTACCCAAAGCTATCTACACATTCAATGCAATCCCAATGAAAATTGCACCAGCAT